TTACAAACTTTCGTGCTTATGTTTCAGTCATACAATGATCGAGTACCCATCCCTCCACCAGTGCCTGTTCTCCACTACCAATGTTACCAGTATCCCTCCCATCCCCCTTCCCCCGTCTCTGTGGCAGGTGCATTCCCTTTTACTCTCTCTCCTTTGGGGTGTTGTGGTCTGCAACGCAAGTATTGAATGGCCATCATGCTCAATCTATAGTCTACTTTCGGCATGCATCTTCCACCTGACTTTCTTTTAAATGAACGGTTCAACCTCAGGTTCCGTTTGAACAAGAAAATTCCAACTTTCCCCTATCCCCACTTGCGTTTCCTGTGAATCAACAGAATCAGAAACCAGACACCAACAGGGAACAGAAAATGAGCCAAGACCAGGTGAGAGAGAAACAAAAGGCCTGACTGGAGTCCTTGGTGAGTAAATGAAAAGACCCAGACTTGACTATTCGTTTATATACAGGTTTTAGTTCTGTGTTCCATCATCTCTGTACCCCCACAAGCCAGGATGTTAGGTGGTCCCCATGCTCTGGCAGGAGGCAGGTTCAAGCAGGTTCTTTTGTTACCAGGGATCTCTCTGACTGCACTGCACACAGCCCTGACAGCACAGGAGAGAATTACAGCCAGCCCAGCTCAGGGAAATTTAGATTAAAAACTGCTATTTATTCCATTTTGAGGTTAAAAAAGAAACTGTATACTTTGAAACTACCGTTAAGCTAAAATATATTTGGGTTTCTCTTAGGTAAAAACATCTATTTATTCCATTTTGAGGTTAAAAAAAACCAACCATACTTTGCTACTAGAGTTAAGCTTAAATATATTATATTTGGGTTTTCCTTCTGCTGGCTAAATCACAAATTAAAATGTTCAAAGACTTTGTCTAGAAAGTTGGACAGCCAAGAATCATAAGGTGGCAACTGTCTAGCCACTCCAGCTTTCTGTTCTCTTCAGAAAATATTATTTCTGACCGATCTACACTCTCACTTCCTATTCATCTGTGTCCCTTCGCGAATCAAGATAGTTGCTGTGCACTTTAGAAATGAGTATTTCTAACATATGGTTAACCGTTTTTCCCCACCAATTTTCATTAATTTTCTTTTAAAAAAGTTTTTACTCAGGATTGAGAGAATCCTGAGAGAGTTTCGTTAATAGTAACAGTTAACACAAGTGAGCTGTATCAGAGTCTAAACATTTTGTGCTTCTCTCTGCCTTCTTGCATTTGGGAGAGAATAGGTTAACTTTAGAAAATTCTTTAATTATTTTTGAATCATTGTTAAAATAAGGAGGAAGAGAGGTTATATAAAGGAAAGAAAAGGCAATAATGGCAGAATTTAGGCCATGACTGATGAGCTGATAAGAACCTTAGCCTCTAAGAAAATCTAATCCTGGGAATAAGGTCAAATCCTTTGTTCCTTATCAATATGAAAGGGCTGAAATCTGAAGTTTCTGACTTAATTCTGAAAGCAACTTTTGGTTTGTTTGGACTATTTCTAAACAGACTGAAATTAGAGCGCTTACCGCAGGAACAATCTCTACAAAGCCTGATTCAGGCTGAGGATTATTTTTATTTTGTCCCACATTTCCTGGACTCAAAGTAAAGTGGTTTTAACCTTGGATTATGGAGGTGGAAGACCTAGGGGGATTCACTGGAATACTTAGGACAGTTTTCTCTTTCCCTTGTCTTTTTTTCCCATATTTATCCTATCTCCACAAAGATATCCTGGTTTAAGTAAGTGTCTGTGGCAAAATTTACAAAAATAAGCTTGTCGTGTAAGCTAATATCCAGTCAGCTGAAATGCAAAGTGATGGTTTAGAGAGAAAGCTCGAGAGGCTCAACATATGTTACAAGAGGAGGCCTGAGTTTGATTCCTGCCACCTCTGGGGGTGATGCCCAAACACCAAACTGGGAATGGCCACTGGGCTAACAAAAAAATAAAACAAAAAGGGGAGTGATTTATTCCCTTTGCAAAATGAGTTACAGATGGGTATAACCTTTGTGGAGAGCAATTTCATAATGTTTATCAAAATCTTTAAAATTATTCAGTCCACACCCATGAATTTTTACGAGGAAAATCAACTCTTCTTCCAGGTGAAACTCTCTTTCTATATCTCCACAGTAGTTAAGTTCATGAGAGGTTTCAACCATTCTTAGCATATTTTATATTTTCACAATAGATTATAGTAAACATAGTCCTATTATAAACTTCTGGTGATGAGAAATAAAAAAAATTATTAGTAAATATGAAACACATGCAAACCCACCCGGTCTAGGACTGCTTGCTGAATGCAAGCGCTTGCTGAAAATTGCTTGCTGAAAGCATTTTGAATGTGGAAACCACCTTCAGCAATCGGTTCCTTTTACGGAGAAAAAAAATTATTATAATTCTGAAAACTCAATGTGCATGACAGATTTTCTAACCAACTGGGATCTGGGGACTCAGAAAAGAAGTCATGATCATTTCAAGGTGATTCCTTTCAGAGGAGCTTAAACCATGGCAACGGTTTACTTTCATAATAGTGCAGGATTGCCCCTTCAGGCTGCAACAGGCTGTCGGTCTGAGTCAAAACCAACATGGTGCTACAGTTTTTCCTTCCAATCATTCCTGGACCCCCATTACCTGATGAGAAACTCTTCCTCCACTTTATACCAGGAAACATTATTTGATTCTCCAGGATCACATGACAGTAACCCTGGGAACAGAAAAGGAGGTTTTAATAATTCTTTGGCCAAAACACACTTCTTTTCTGAATCTACTTATTCTACAGTTTCAAGATGTTTTCTGAAGGGTCCCCAGAGGCTACATTTAAAACCTTCTGATCATTGTTTGCTAACTGCTGGGATGGTTTTAATTCTGGAGAAAGCCAAGTGCTTCAGCTTGGCTGTTGGAAATGATCCTAAAATGTCTTTAAACTGATTCAAGGGTAAAATGCTTAACAGAAAAGATATATTCCTGCTTGGGAATAAACTCATTAGAACTGACATACCTTGTATCTGCTAACCAAAAGAAGCACATATTTGAATGCATTATATTCCAAAGGCAATGAGACGTCTGTGATCAGTATTAGATGGCAAAATCTGTTCAATGAGAACATAGCACAATGATAAGGTCGACAACTTCCTCTGCTTAGAATATTCTCAATGTCAGTAGGATGTCTCTACCAGGACCTAATTTTTACTCTAGTTTTCTTTTTTCTTTTCTGTTGGCGGGAGGGAGCTGGGATGTCAGTGATTTGGTCCACACCCGGCAGTTGTCATGGTTGTTTCTTCCCTCTGTGCTCAGAGAGCATTCCTGGCAGGGCTCAGAGAGCCATATGGGGTGCCAAAAATCAAACTTGAGGTGGGTCACATGCAAGGCAAATACCTACCCAGCTGTATTCTCTCTGGCTCCTATATTAGTTTTCTTGAATACATTTTCTTGAAGAGGCATTTTTATTGTTCTGTTTGGGGGCCACACCTGACAGTGCTCATGATTTACTTCTGGCTCTGCGCTCAGGGATGACTCATGGCAAGGCTTGGGGACCAAGAACTGTAGCACATGTTGTTTTTGACTCAGACACCCCGAAAATCTGTTGCAGCCTGAAGAGGCGATCCATGCACTATCATGGAAGGAAACCATTGCCATGGTTTTAGCTCCATATGAAGTGTCCTCTGAAAGGGTTTGAACCCAGGTTGGCCACACTCAAGGCAAGTGCCCTACCCACTGTACTATCTTTCTAGCCCTCTGTTGAAGAGGTTTCATTTGATGATGCAGGTTGAATTTTCTGAGATGAAAGATCTCTTCACATCACCTCAGTAAACATTTTCCCTTTCCTACAATTTTGACTTGAGGTAAGCAAAGGGATTCCTTTGTGATGACGCCAGATTGATGCTAGATTCCAGAAAAACCCATATTTTGGGGTGGATGATAGCTCAAATGGTTGAAATACATGCTTTACATATCAGGGCTTCAGATTCAATCTCTCTCACATTCATCACCCAGGGTTGCCCAAACACAGAAAAGAGAAAATCCTATGTTTCTTGCAGTTCAGGTCAAATCAGATCCCTCAAAGTGAGCCAGAACCAATCAAAATGCCTGAATCAATTTTAGAAGCATCTCAAGTTTTTTGTTTTTGTTTTTCAGGAGTGGGGCTAAAATGGGGTGAAGTGAAGTTTGGGTCAAACTGGCAGTGCTTAGGGTCTACTTCTAGCTTTGTGCTTGAAGGACCATATATGGTGCTGGGCATGGAACCAGGGTCAGCAGCATGCAAGACAAGCATCTTATTCCTGGACTATGTATCTGGCTCCAACATCTCAAATTTTATTAGGGTCAGTAAACAGCTTCTAAACAGGCCCAAACTTCTCTTGGATCAGCTCAGGACACATGGCATTGGGTTAGCCTTATATTTACATGACAGAATGTTTCTTCCTCTTTTTCTAAATCTTGCAAGACTGATCACTTAAAAATTTGGGGGAAGGTTGGGTCACACTGGTAGTGCTAGGGGCTAATCCAGGCTCTTTTCTCAGGGGTAACACCTGATTGTGCTCGGAGGACCAAATATCATACTGAAGATTGAACCCTAGTTGGCTATGTGGAAGGCAAGTACCTTACCCCAGGAATTTTCTCTGCTCCATCACGTATTAATTCTAAAAATCCTACCCAGGGGTAAACCAGTACTTAAACCAGGGTTCTAGGACTACCACTCCAGTGTGTGAATCTCAGTCTCTACAGATAGATCTGAGAGACTTTTGTTTTTCGTGTTTTGTTCTTGAGGGTCACTTCCAATGATGCTCATGGTTCCATGAAGTGCTAGAGACTGAATGTGGCTCCAGCATGCAAAGCACGTGCTCCAGTCCTTTGAGATATACCTCTGTGGAAAACTGTGATGGGGCTGGGTTGGAGGAGAAAACTTTAATAGTACCTGTGCAGGGTGAAGTATAAGAGATTCTACAAGAAGAATAATGATTAATAGCGAATGAAAAGGGAGAAAGAAAAAAAAATCTCAGCAAGCAAAGGCAGGCATGATTTGAATTTGAGGATTTAATACAAACTGGAAAATAAGCTTTAGTTTTCTTAAACAAATCAGTGGGGATGGGTCAGGAACACCTTTGCCTCAGCAGTTTCATCTTCAGTTAGGCTGTCTGCATCAGTGTGTTGATACTTTCTTCTACCTCAGAGAGCTTCTTCAAGACTTGGTTGACCTTGACTTCATCCATTTCCAAATACAGAAATTCTGATTTCTTGGAAAAAAAAAAAAGGATGTTTAGAAGAGATGCTCAAGATAGCCAAGCCAGTCTAATGCCCCAGCAAACATGGCTCAGACCTCAACACCAAAATAACATTCTGACCAGCAAAGCAAACCCACACAGTTAAAGTTTTTCTTTGGGTAGATACACCCAACAGTGCCCAGGGGTCACTCTTGGCTGTGCTCAGGGGACCACATGCAGTACTGCAATTCAATTCAAACCAGGGACAAGGACACAGTCACTTCTTAGGCAGTGCTTTAATTTGTGTTCTCTTTCTGGGACACAATGATAGTACTTCATGTTTCATAAAAGGTAAAAGGTATACAAACATCAGGTGTTCTCATTAAGAGACATGAGAAGCTTGTTCTGTCTATCGTTTTGTGATACCATAAACATTTTTTGGTTTTGGGCCTACCTGGTGGTGGTCAGGGGTTACTCTTGGCTCTGTACTCGGGAATCACTCCTGACAGTTTCAGGGGAGCATATGGAATGCTGGGGATTGACGCAGGGTTGGCCACATGCAAGGTAAGTATACCCTATCTGCTATACTATCACTTCGGACCTGATACCCTAAACAATTTTAAGGTACGTATTACTATTTTAGAAGTGATGAATTCAGGGCACAGAACAGTTAACCTGCATGAAAAAAAAATCAGGAAACATAGTGGAAAGTCAAATCATGAACTCCCAGGTCCAGTTGATTCCAACTCTATACTGTCTTCAGAACATACCCCATCGTGTACCAGAGAAAGAAGTGATTACAGTGATTAGCTCTGTATTAGCCTGGAAATTGATAAAACTTGCACTTAGCGTTGAGCTGGAATTGTGATGAGTCCTGACCAAGTTGTTAGGGTACTGATAGAGATAATTAGATCTAGAAATATAACAGCCTTAAACATTTCTCCTGGGGATGGGAAAAAGGGGGGAGATGTGGATTGATAGTACAGCAGGTAGGGCATTTGCCTTGCATGCAGCTGAACCGAGTTCAATCCCTGGAACCCCATATGGTCCCATGAGCACCATCAAGAGTAATCCCTGAGTGCATAGCCAGGAGTAAGCCCTGTACATAGCCTGGCATGGCACATAAAACAAAAACAAAAACTACCACCACCAACAACAAAAGACTAAAAACATTTCTCCTGCTGCTCCACATCCTGAAAGTGAATTCTCTCAAGACCTCTCTTTCCCATGATGCGTCAGACATTGTTAGAATCAGTGAATCGGCACTAGCTTAGATAGTTATAAAAAAAAGTCTCTGAAATATGGTAGCAGTAACTTCACACACAATGAACAAAGTAGGTACAAATTGTCTTGAGAAGTTCTATGTATCAAAGAGTAATGATAGTTAAGATCCTAAAAACAATCATGTAATTTCAGAATAGGATGATTTTTTTTGAGATAAGATAATCCAACTGCCTTGCTCCCGGATCATGAAATTGAGGCATAATGACAATGAATTATTAAAAGACATTTTTGCTATCCCTCTGTAGACAGTAGATCCTTCAATTCTCTTTTTATTACTTTGTCCTTTTAAATATCTAACATTGGGCTGGAGTGATAGCACACAGAGAAGGGTGCTTGCCTTGCATGTGGCCAAGTCTGTTCTGATCCAGAACTCTGCCAGGAGTGACCTCTGAGCACAGACAGGCACTGCTGCATGAGGCGCCCAAAACTATACAATCAAACATCTCCTACCCTGTCCCCAAAGTGTCAAGACAAGGTAGAAGAACAAGCCTCTTCAGAGAAATGGAGTCATTCTGATCCATTAGAAGAATCTTCTGAAATTAATTTTCAAAAGGTTAATTTTCTGTAATAATGTGAGTCTATAATGAGCTGTGTTGAGCTGTGTTGAGTCTATAATCTCCTCAGGAGAAATGGGGAAAAAAGAGAGAAATGGCCTCTCAAAGGGCAATCTTCCAAAGGGAGGGAAGGCAGTTCCCCTGACTACAGGAACATTCTCCTCAAACATGTATTTGGGTGGGAGAGGGTGATCACTGCAATGTGAGAGAGTTTAAAAACTGCTAAGTGTTTAGTCAAAATAAAAAAATCATTTAAAAAAACATTTATCACAGCATCGTGATTTACAAAGTTATTCATAGTTGAGTTTCAGGCATATAATGTTCCAACACTAATCTCATCACCAATGTTAACTTCTCTCCACCATATTCCTAGATTTTTCACTATCCCCCCCGCCCATACATAACCCACCCCAGTCTGCCTCCTTGACAGGAGCATTTGGGGGGGGGGGGGTGGGGGAGAAGGCAGTACTCAGGGATTGCTTCTGGCTCAACATTCTGGGATCACTTCTTGGTACAGCTCAGGGAATATGGAATGCTGGGGACCAAATATGGAACATGGAATGCTGGGGATCAAATCTGGGTCAGACACCTACAGGGTAAGTGCCATACCCACTGTACTATCTCTCTGGCTTGGTTGCTGTAGTTTAGATCTTATGCTCTCAGTGTTGATGCTGTGATTTAGATACATAGATATACTGTACCTCTGCACCCGCATGCTGACCCTTTTACCTCCCATCTTCCTCTTTTTACTTTCCTTTCAATTTCTTTCCTTCCCGGCCCTTCTCAGGGATCAGGGCAATCTAGGTATAACCCCCTTTAATGTATTACATTCTCTTGTCTTGTTATTCTATATATCACAGATAAAAGATCATCCTGTGTTTGCCCTTCTGACTTTCTTCACTTTACATGATATCTTCCGGTTCTGTCCAAGTGAATTACAGAGTTCAAGGACTACTCCCAGCTTGCACTCTGGGGTCACTCCTGGCAATGCTCATGAGATCACGCAGGGCCAGGAATTGAACTCAGCCCTCCTGCTTGCAAAGCATGTGCTCAGCTGAGCTGTATCTTTGGCCAAGTATCTTATACTGCTCATATTCCTGATCTATACTGTCCTGGCCTCCTCCAGGTATTGCTTTGTTTCTTTTTGTTTGGTTGGGTTAGGGTTTGGGGTGGCACTTGGAGATGGGGGAGAGGTTGCACATTTGGTTGTTGTACTAAAGGTACCCCCCAGCACTGGCACCAGAGACTGCACTCAACAGGGCATGGAACTCAAAAACTCATGAACGCAAGGCAGGTATTCTACCCTGGAGCCACACCACACCTGGACCCTTCTCCTTGCCTTTCTAATCACCCAAACCCCAAGGTTGCCAGGCAACAGGAAAATCTTCAGAGTCAACTGAAGAGGGTATTAGCAAAATGATTTCAGTGAAAACAGAAGTTGGACTTACACACACATCCTGCTGCTGCTGTGCTTTCGTGCAGGCTCAGGGCCTGGGAGTCAACAGAGCAACGCAATTCCACGAACAGTCTACTCAAAGTTGTTGGCGTTCTAAGAGACAGAGAGAGAGGAGGCATGCCAAGGACAGGGCCCGGGATTCTTTTGGTTTAAGGTTTCTTTGCTGGAAAAAACTAAGCCGTTTAGAAGAAAACTAGACATGCCTGTCCTGCCAACGTCAAATCAAAAGGAACATGTATTTTGGCTCAGGCAACGCTGACTTATTTTCTGAAAGGGAGAACACAGTTTGACCTTGCAGGAATCAGTGGTTCTCTCATTAACCGAATTATGTACTGCTAAACCATGACTATCACTATCCTTTCTTCCTGAAGATTTCAAAGATCTCAAAGCATTTGAGATACATTCTATTCCTCATTACAGGTCAGTGAAATGTGAAAGGTGACAGTACAACTAATCTTTATCACTATGGGGGCGGGGGGGAAGAGGTTCAGAGACTAGCCTCAGTTATGTTCAGTCCAGATTATTGATTCACTGCTTACTAACAACTACATCTGACTCCAATTTAGACACTTTCAACCCCAACTAACATTTAACAGAGGAGGGAAAAAAAGGGAACTAATTATTACCCGATTTTGAACTGATTGATATCAGCACCAGGATTTAAACTTTTACAAAGACTTCAGGTGGGGGCGTACTGGGGCAGACTGGGCAGAGCTCAGGGTTCTGTGCTTCCCTGGTTCTGTGCTCAGGGAAGCAGATGTGTTTCCCAGGGAATGAACCTGGTTTGGTCACATGCAAGACAAGCACTTTACCTGATATCTATCTCTCCAACTCCAAAGATACTTTAGAAATATCCAACAAATTAAAATAAAATGAAATCAACTTAACACAAAAAACTCTAAATATGTTAAACTGCAGACTAATTTCCTCCCTCCTTCCACCAATTTCCTCTCTCTCTCTCTCTCTCTCTCTCTCGCTCGCTCGCTCTCGCTCTTGCTCTCGCTCTTTCTCTCTGCTGAGGCTCAAGGGCCAACCAGGCTGCCCTGGATAGGCCTCCAGGGCTGTACCTGGTGTTACCTGGGGACCATGTGACACTAGGGATTGAACCTGGCATACTCCAATCCTTTGAGCTAGTTCCTTGGCTCATAGACTTAATTTCTAAGCTTTTCCAGAATAATGTATTTAGTTAATTTAAAATTTTTTGTTTTCAGTAGGGTTTAGTGTTTACCTGTTAAGATTTTCTGTATTTTGAAAAACTTTGAAAATGTATGTGTTGGCAGCAGTGGAGATGGGCCATCCCTTCCCATGTCCCTACCCTCTTGGGATCCTGGCTATCACACCCACAATCTGCATCTGGGCATCATCTCAGCGCATCAAAGGCCTTGATCCAGAGACTCCCAAATGACTCTCAAAATGGATTAACTCCCTATAGAGATGGCTCTGGACCCCAATCATTTACAATTTTAGAATTCCAGAAGTGCATGGCCAATTTTGAGGTGGTGTAACCTCTGATGATATTCATAATAAGCAATAGAAAATAATTTATCTAGCATCTGCCCTTGTGAGGCAGGCTTGAACGGTGGTGGGAAAATTCAAAATATTGGTTGTGGGAAGGTGTAATGTTGGTGGGACTGGTGTTGAAATATTGAATGTAATCAGTTAATGTGAACAACCTTATAAAAATCACTGTCACTGTCCTCCCGTTGTTCATCGATTTGCTCAAGTGGGCCCAGCAATGT